AAAGAGGTCACCTCTTGGGTGGCACCTGGAGCCAGGTTCTCCTGTCACCAGCCTTGGAGATGGTCCCTGGCTGGCACACAAAGCAGCATGTTGCTCTTGCACAGCTGATCTCAGTACAGATTCATTTTTGTAATCTTTAATAGCACAGCTGTGTCCCATAGCCTGGTGGTTTGGGGGCAGAAAGACGAGAGATTCAAATTCAGATGGCTCCAGGAAGAGGAGGAAATTGAGGCAGGGTTCCTCACAGGCTAAGTGAATGTACTAACCATGAAACTATTAGATAAAAGAAAGGGGTGTTGATGTGTGTTAGGGAGAAGCAATCATAACTACATTTTTTGGTAAATTTACTCTCCACTGAAAATAAATAGTCTGGCCGCCTCTACTGAGAAGTCACAATCTCCCATTCAAATCCTTGGGTTCTCTGTTTACAGAATGACCTTTAATTGTTTTAAAGACTCTGCAAATCTCTGTTTCAGGCAGAGCAGTAGCCAGAATGGAATGGCTCCTTACGTAAAGCAGAGAGACATGAATAGTTTAAGGCAGCTGCAAGGATTAATGCTTTGCAGGACAGCTCTTTGTCTTGGGCCACGGAAAGGACTGGTATTTGGCACTCCATTTTGTTGCATATTTTATGGTCTGGAAGAGGTCTTAAGATCTTTTGTAATGCAGTCATTCCACAATGGCTCTCTTCAGTGGTGCTTTGGAACTCATTGGAGGGCTGAATGGAAACGTGCTATTTTTCTTTTTGTATGGATGTATAGGATGAGATACTCTCTATCTAAGGAATTTTTTTCCAAGTAGAGGCATAAGAAGGCATAAGACACACTTTTAGGGTATGAGATTCCAGAGGTCATGAGACCTGGGATGGAGTGGTGAGTTTTGGCTAGAAGACACATGGTTTTGGTTTGATTTCTGCTTTTAGAATGGTAACGTGATGATGTAGTGAGCCTTTGGCACATGGCACTGGGGTCTGAGACCGTGACCATTGCTCAGTGGTGTCAGAGGTGGGGACGTGAAGAGTATCCTCAGCAGACATGAGGTCAAGTTGTTCAGCAGCAAGATCTCTCCTGCTGACACAGCCGCTTTGTAGGATGGTTTGTTGTCTGGGGCCAAATGCAGAAAAAGTGTTGTATGCACTATGCTAATGTGTTGATTGCTGCATCTTACCAAGCAGAAGATGTCCTGGTAATGCATGCTTACTGCAGAAGCCTGCTACTATACCAATTACTATTCTGCTGCTTTCTTGCAATTTGTGCTTTCCTTCTACCATCGACTTGCTATTTATTTGCTTATTACAAGGGTATTTCTCTCTTCTTTGCCATCCTTTCCTTCAGAAAAAAAATTGTAGCTCGGTCTGGCCACTGTTCTTGAGTTGGAGGAAGAACTAGATGCAACCTTCTTCTAGTCTGCAGGAAATCTGTAGGGATGTGATCCTGCTTTGAACTGTGCATTGAGGGGAAATGCCCGTTCTGTGAGATCATCCACTGTGGTGTCTGCTAAAGGAACTAAAGGTGCCATGGGTTGTGCTCACTCACCCAGATCCCATCTGACAGGAAAAGGAATTCCTGTGTAATAAAAATCAAGATAATTACCCATGAAGAAATGTTTAATTGTGGAGGGATTTTCATACACATTAGTAGATGGGAGGTCAAAATCAGAGAATGTAAGTTCAGTCCCCAGAAAAAGCAACTTTGGTTGTGATTTTTTAATTTTCATGTTTAATTAACATTGTGGTTTTCTTCACGGATTGCTGCTTGGTTCAGAGGTAAGTCTCCATTTCACTTTTCTGGTGAAAATACCTGAAATCCTTCAACCAGTGAGAGCTGTCAGTGAAGGGAATATCACACTATTATCCCCACCTCTTTCACACCTATTGAGTGAGGTATTCCACATATACTGGGAAAGAGAGCAGTTTTTTCCTCTTTCATCCAAAACATGAAGCTTAGTAGCTCAGCTTGCCCTATCTGACCCATCAACCAGGAGAGCAACATGTGGGTTCTACCAGATCTGCCCTTCTCTGAATGTGATGGAGTTGGAAGGAGTTGGCTGTGGAGAACTATTTAGTCCTCACTTTTTTCTGTTCTGATGCTGTTTGAAAAAATATTCAGGAAAAGGGTGATAAATGAAGTGTCATTTTATTGTTAAAGAAAATTCAAAGAGAGAGAAAGATATGAAGAATGAGAACCATTATGTATGCAAGGTTACGGGATGTTTGTCTCTGGGGTAGGGGCGGTTGGATGAAGGATGAAGAAAAAGCTGTGCAGAAGGCTGTTTTGCTCTTACTCTTCCACTTCTCTACAAATATTTGTAAACTCAGGATTATTGGGTTTGGATTCATAGTGGACTTTGCTAGGAGAGTTAATGGGAGACAGATTAAGGGGGAAAATAAACTATGGGAAGTTGCCTGAGGAGAGATGGTCTTTTTGGTGTTGGCTGTGATCTTGGAAGACTTGGGCTCTGTCCTAGAGTCAGCTGTATGGTAGATATTGGAAATTTTAAGGTGTAAATGTTTCAGTTCATATGCTCACTTAGCAGTTCTAAAAGGCTCGGAGCAGCTCCAACTCTTAACACAGCACTTTGGTCCTTTGTGAGTGCATGTGCATCTCCACAGACTTCCACTGGGGTGTTGGTCACATCATTTCCTTGCAATGGTTTAGGGAGGAAAAAAAAAATCAGAATAAGCAAACTCTTTGACTTAATCCTTTAAGAAATGTGGAGCTTACTCCATCAGTTTGAGTTACTGCAATAAGTTTCTGTCGGGTAAAAAATTCCTGTCTTTCCACCAAAGGCATCTATGAAAGAGATAAACTATAACGCAAGAGTCAGGATTTTTATTCCAAAACTGTCATTGCTGGAAATTAATATGAGCTCTAGCTATTTGTTCTGTTTGTTTGCTTGTGTGTTTTGCTTTCCCTCCCTCAAATGTTGCAAGGTTTTTAGGTTCTGGTTCAAGTCCATCCCCACCAATGCTGAATGCCCTTTGAGTTGGCCATTACAAGAGTGCAGGGAGGGCTTCACCCACAAACACCTCCAGGCTCAAGCAGGGCAAATTTTCATCATTTTGATTATAATGCTCTCAATTATTTTGTGGCTTATAGAGACCGGAACAAAGACTTGCCAGCAATGATCCCCTATTTGTGTCTGCAAGACAGGCACCTCATGCCTGGGATCTGCATGGGATTAGCAGAAGCCCAAAGCTGAGCTTCCAGGCAATACATTGCTGACAAACATGGTTCCCAAACACTCCGACTCATTCAGATTTTGATCCCTGCTTTCTTTATCCAGCAGTTTGAGGGGCTTTTGAAACAGTAGGCTTCCTCTGGTGCTTAACAGAAATTCTATGTCAGCCTGATAAGGAGGGCTGGGAAGGACCTTGGGCTGATGTGCAGTCTTACATGGACTGCATATTGGCTTTTGCTGCACTGTTCAGAAAGTGTTTTTTTCCTCTTTGCCTTACTATTGTCTCTGTCTGTTTGTCCTTGATTTTGTCAACTGAGAATCTGGCTATGTGTTGTCTACAAAAGATTTTTGAATGACTGCCTTTTGGCCAGCTGGTTCTCTTGGCATTTTGGTGGAGACTGGTGAGAAGAAAGGAGAAGGAATTGGATTCAGAACTCCAGAAAATGAAGCCACCTCATTTTTCATTCCCTTTGATTAACTCACTGATTTATTTGCTTGTAACAATGACAAATGACGCCACCAGCTGATGCTATCACATTTGGCAGAGTCAGCTTGGTTTGAACTCAGCAATTAAAGCCCTACATGGGACAGATTTATAGAAATGTTTCACAAACTGTTGGAGAAAAAAAAGTCTTTGTTAGACACAAGCTAAGTAGGAATCTGTAAGGTTCTGAACAGCAAAAACAAATAGCTATCTTTATTTAGAGCTCCTAATGTCCACTAATACTACTTCCTATCATGATCACAGGACATCTGTAATTTACTCTCATTGTATTTTTATCTGTTTTACTGTCAGTCTGATCCTGTTCTTATTAACACCAGTGTGAATTGGGAACACTTCCACAGAAATTAACCACGCTGACTTTACACTAGCACAGGCTCCAGAGAGGCTTAAAAAGCTTTGAGCAGGCAGCTGTAGGCAGGCAGTTAGTTGCTGGAAGAGAAATTTCACCTTTCACTTAAAATCTGCTTCTTGCCTTCATGGCTCTGAGGAGAGGCTCTGAATGTGAAAGGTTCAAACCAAGAAGGCAAATGAGAACTCCAAATATATTTATCCCTTGTTGTTATTATTACTTCGCAGGCAGCTGGAAAGTGTCATAATTTTTTTAGTTTTTGAGGTCAGATATTACTAAATGGCAGGGAAGTGGCTCCAGGTCACGTTACATTCATTAATACCAATAACAGTTTTGTGCGCAGAGATGTTCTGCCTGTAGGATAAGCCCAAACCTATTCCCTTCCTGAATCACACATCTGATGTGTTTCACAGCCAGCAGAGGAACAGATATTTCCAACTGCCCTGAACTACTTCAGGAGAGGTTCATGTTGGATATTAGGAAAAATTTCTTCTCTGAGTGGTGTTGCATTGGAACAGGCTGTTCAGGGAAGTGGTGGAATCACCATTTCTGGAGGCATTCAAGAAAAGGGCCAATGTTGCATTGAATGATGTAGCCTAGAGCAGACACAGGTATGGGTTGATTGTTGGACTAGATGTTCTTATTGGTCTTTCCAACCTTAATGATCCCACAGACTCCACACCCAAATGCTCATGCCCCTGCAAGCTGCAGGACGTCTGGTGAGATGGAGAGAAGTTCCAGGAGAGGCTCCTGGGGTGGCTTACCAGGAGGGAAGAAGGTTCTATGGCACACAGCAGGGTGAGTACAAGAACAGCATTTTCTTGCTTACCATAGTGGAAATGCTAAGTCACAGCTCGAACCAGTGGTTGAGCATCTGGTGGGGAGGCAGGGCCAACCTGGGGGAGCTCAGGTGCAAGCAATGCACTGAGTGACCACAAGGGGAGGAGCCAGGGTCCAGCCTCATTTAAGGGTTGGCAGTGGAGGCAAGAGTTTCCAGGCACTGGAGATCCCTGCCTACCAAAGGTCTTCTGTAGGTAAGCAGTTTTTCTTCCTTTGTTTCTGTATTTATAGCTGCTTCATTTGGCTTGTTCTCATTTGCTGCAGCCTACTACTATGCTATTATTGCTGTACTTTCCATCATGTTACAGCATTACACCTACCTCAGCACAGAACAGGAGGTTGTTGTGCCTGAACTCATTTTGCTGAGAGGTGAAAGCAGGTATGTTTTTTGTCTGCCAGAGTGCAGATGCTGCCTTGGAGAAGGATGAATTGGTCGCAACACATTTGGTCCTCCAAGAGTAGAGATGCAAATTGACCTAAACGGCTCAGCACTTTCCTTGCCGTAAAGCATAAACTCAGTTTAAACTCTATAACATGTAAAGGCTAAACTTGTGTATTACATGTAATGCCAGAAAAGTGAGCAGCCATGTTATACATCCAACCTGTACAATGCAATGCTCTCATCCAGTCCTCCCCTTTTACGGCACTAATAATAATTCATTCTGCACATCTGCTAATGCTCCTTGTCTCTCTCCATTGCCCATGGCTTTCTTTCAAATGTTAATTCTGCGTGTGCTACCTTTTATCTGGAGATGAAGATGGATTGCTGTGTCAGGCTGGATTTAAATTCATTTTGCTGTTAAAAATTTGTAATTATATTGAAAGGTTGTACGAAGTCCAAGACCTCTCTGGGCTATTGTGGTTAATTAACTGCTACAGATATTGTGCATTCAATCAAATCATTCTCACTGCATTAAATTAAGTTATTAAACGTTTGAAATTGTTGAGATACTAGCAATGCTTGATCACTGGAAGGTCACACACTTCGTTACTTTTGTAGGCCAAGTGCTGCGTGTTGGGTAATTTAAGTGCAAATGGATTTGTTGGTTGAAGGGTCCTCTGAGAAGGCATTTACTAATGACTGGCAGATTTGAGGATGTAGTTAGAGGCTGAGGCTGGGACCTTCACGAAAGTGATGACTTCCTCATGCGATGGGTTAAGTGAGGTCTATCTCTCTGCCTGAAGGCTTCAAACAGCTTGTTTGCAGCAAAGGATAGGATTGCTCTAAATAAATTTGGATGAGAGCAAAGAGATTATGTTGGATGATGATTAAGGCAGTGGAACAGGCTGCTCAGGAAAGTGGTAGTGTCACTATCCCTGGTGCATTCAAGGAATGTGGAGATATGGTGCTGATGCACATGGTTTAGTGGGCATGGGTTGATGCTTGGACTAGATGATCTTAGAAGTGTATTCCAACCTTAAGGATTCTAGGGTATGAAATTGAAATTGGAAAGAAACAATTATATATAGATACCTTTGTGTTACTATTCTGGAAAATGCTGTCTTCCCTACTTGTCCTTATTTGCCAAGCTTTTCACACCATTCTGTGTGCCAGCGGGTCTAGGTGTGTCCCATCTGCAGTCCTGGCTATTTCCAAATGTTGGAAGTGCAGCTTGTGGATCTGCGTTGTGCTATGATGTGCTAGGGCACATGCTTTCAAGGAAAGTGTGCAGGTCAGCTGGACGTGGCAGGGAATGAGGCTGTAGATAACACTGTGCTGATGCTCGTACTGTATTACTTGGTTGCAACCACCCCACAAAGTCTCTTCCCTTAACCTGCATTTGTCTCGCTATGCTAGTAAGTAACCCCAGTTACACTCCCAGATGTGCTGGCAGCCCAATTTATCTCTTTTCTATCTGCCTCCTTGCTCCTCCCTGTGCACCACCCATACCTGGCAGAATGCAAACAACTGTTTGTATGTACTCAAAAGCCTTGTGACCATCAAACAGGTAAGATAACTCTTGAAAGTGCATCTGGTGTTTCAGAGAAGCAGAAGAAAGCCATTGAGCGGTGAGCCAGGCTCTGCCCAGTTTGCTGGAAGGCATCGCATGATGGTCTGAGATAACTGGAGAGGTAGCGAACACAGCTGCCGTTCTCTTGTAGGTGTGGTAACTGAGGCAGGAGGTTACGCAACATCATAGGCAGCAGAAATCTGCTTTCAGGGAACAAACCCAAGCTTTTCCATCACTCAGACTCCAGCTCAGTGCTTTGTGGGGGATGTTAAAGACAATCTCAGATTCTCTCTGCATGGAGGATGCTGTAGAACAGGGTCCAGACTTCAAGTCAGTATAGCAGAGCTTCTGTTTTCACTGCCTTAGCAGTCTCCACCTGCCACGTCTGTGCTGTGATGCAAGGAAGATGGCAGTGAATGTTCAATTCACCACTAAAATTGCAGTAAGCCTTATTCTTCTCCTGTTTCTTATCCCACATGCTCCTCAGAAATCAATATTTCTATCTGCTCCCCTGCAGGAATGTAGCGTGCCTATCCTAATTGGTCTTTTGGGAAAATACAGAGGGGAAGATGTTATTGTTTCTCTCTCAGCTGGATGTGTGCTATCATCTCCCGGACCCACAGCCTGCAGCTGGTTTTCTTTGTCAAATGATTTTGGCTTAGCTGCCATGATAATTACACAGCTGGGCAGTGGGAAATCCCGCCCAGTAGCTGACGCCTGGCTAATCGCCACTGGTTGTGTTTGGAGACTTGAGGACCTGCTGTAATAACACCGCCACTTAATTAGTCCTTTCCTGAGTAACTGCTTTGGAAAGCAGAGGAATTGCTGCTTCCTAGATCCTCTTAACTATGTGAGTACAAGATGGATGAAAGAAGTCCCAGTAAAAATCTATGGAGGGAGTTTATGCAGCTGGCTCTCAAAGCTCAGCCCTGCCTCAGTTTCTCTTCTTGAGTTTGTAAAGACAATCTAAATAACATCCACTGCTGGAGCATGGTTTATCATAAGGACATTTGACTGAACTTCAAATGTAGATTAAAGAAATGCAAATGTCTCCTTCTCTCCCAGGGCTGTATGGCAATTCATCCACCCCTCTGCTGATGGAGCTTTCAGCTTGCCTTTCATGCTATCTGTTCTGCCTCTAAAGCTATTTTATGCTGGTGTTTTCTTTTGTTGGTAGGTTTTTATTAAAGATGTGAAGAGTTCAGCTGCACAATGTAGCAGTGAGGTGAATAGCAGTACCTGTGTTTTCAGCTTACTTCCTCGGGAAACATTTTGCCGAGGTTTAAACTAATGTGTTCCCCCTTGCTCACCTTGGGCTTAGAGCACAGCACTGTGAACCACAGCTCAGCTGACAGGCAGCATCTCACCATGACAAAGCTTCAATAGGCTTTACTGAGAGAAGATTAAAAAAAAGAAAGTGTGAAGTACAAATATCTGTCCCCAAAAGAAAAACCTCACCTGCTCCTCTTCCTCACTGACCACCAGCCGCCTTAATCCTTTTCTTCATCTGCCCCCCAAAAGCCCATCAGACCTTCCTCTTGTTCCCATCCTGTCCCCAGCCCTTGACAGTCCCTGTCTTTGTCATAGACTTACAGAAAGATAAGTCAGTAAGATTGGAAAAGATCTCTAAGATCTTGTAGTCCACCCACCAGCCCTTCCCTACTATGCCCACTAACCATGTCCCTCAGTGCCACGCTTCCATGTTTCTTGAACATATTGAGGAAAAAATGATGCCACCACCTCTCTGGGCAGCCTGTTCCAATGGTTAATGACTCTTTGAGAGAATAAATTCTTCCTAATATCCAACCTCATATTTTTCCTAATATTTAGCTATCCTGAATACCTGCACCCCATGGCTATGCAACACCACCATTCTTTCCACATCTGTCTTTCTGCTCATCCAGAGCCACTGCATTGCCTCTTCTCTTAAAGGAAAGATGCACTTTTTTTTTTTTTCTTCCCAGTACCAAAACCCCACCAGTTCTTTATTTCTCCTCTGAGCCAACATGCCCAAATTTACCTCATCCTGTTGGCAGTTCTCACCCTGGCTAATTCCTCCAAATGCCTTGCCCAAATTCTTCCAGACCATTCCTGTATGGCAGCTCCATTTCTCCCTAAATATGGGGATCTTTTCCTCCTGGCATGCTGTCATTGCCATTGATGTGCATGGTCATCCTCCCCTTGTTAGTTGCAGTTCTTCTGTCCTTCTCTACAGTAATCATGGCTCATTCAGGGACATCAAATACCTAGATCACTGTCCCAGCCAAGGAAAACATCCTGACAGACTCTGAAAGCAAGAAAAGAGGTTATTTCCAGGAAAAAAAAAAACAAAAACAAAAACCCAACCTGTAGGATGGCTCCACTTTGTTATTAAGACTCCAATATATCCTAGTTTTATCTGGGCAAAGAATTGCCATTTTAGTGAAGGATTTGTATGAGAATAGAAATTCAAATCCTGGTCCAAATTCAAGTTTGTCCAGAGCTTCAGGAAGCTGAGATTTGTTATTGTAGTTTGGATCCACCTCATAAAAGTGTAGTCTACATTCTGGCACTCAAACTCCGGTCCAAATTTCCCCCTCATTCATGCAGTTTCTGGTTTCAGCTTTGGGTCAACGTTATCCCTGGGAATGAGGTGCAAACACCATCTCTGATTTGGTGCTTGGGGTAGAAAAGTCTGAAAGTTCTTTGTTTCATTTTTAATTGCTAGTACTCTATTGTAGTTAATTTTTTTTATTCTTTATTTACATCTAATATTCACATTTTGCATGCAAATATTAGTACAGTCAGTATCAGCCACCAAGTATCAGTGCTTTGTGGGGCTTATTTGGGACTCACGGCCAGCAGCTCCAATTAAACTGTGGGTAAATAACATTTGGGTATTTTGGAGAACACCTTTCATCTTCCAGAATCAAATGTGGGCTGTGTGGTCCAAACAAGATCTGCTGAATCCAGACTCTGGATATTTTTTGTCCTTTGCTGCGTAGCCTAATATCTGCAGTGATAATTGGTACTGGTACTTTATAGGAAAAGCAGAAGACGCAACTACCTGAGATCTATTTGTCCTCAGGAGGGCCATGAAGGTTGGCTGTGGGGTGGTCGAGACCCTGGTCACAGCTCTGGGGTCCCATGGGTGAAAGAAAAGCCATCTGGGGAGAGAAGGTGACAGTGAAGATGTGGTGGTCCCTCCAAGGGATTGTTTATAGAGCTGGATGAAATTATTCAGTCAGAACATTCTTTCTGCTGAAAATGCCTTTTTTTTTTTTTTTTTTTTTTTTCTTCTAATATCAAAAATTTTCTGTGGGAAATGTCCAATTTCAACAACAATTTTGGGGCTTTCATTGAGAAAGAAAATGCTTGAAAAACGTGCAGTTTTTTGGCAATGGAAAGCTAAGGAGTTTGGCAAAATCTCAAAACAAAACCAAAAACCCCAAATAGTTTTGGTTTGTGGCCAAAAAGTTTCCAGTTTTTGATTGCCAGAAACCAAACATTTTTCAGTTTTTGCTTTTTCAAGGAAAACCCCCAGAATTCTGCAGAGGGGGTGAAAAGTTTTATTGTCACCAATTTTCTCTCGTAGGAACAGAAACAATTTCTGATTTTACCCTTCTCCTCCATGGATAGTGAGCATGAGCATGGGATTAGGACCGGCTGTTTGTGAGCTCTCTTTGTGTGTCAACCTGAGCTGCAGCATCTTTTTTTGGCTGAGCTCCTCCAGCACTGGCTGCCTGCCCACTGTGGGCTGTCTCTGGGCAGGTTTGAGCATCCCCTGTAAAATAATTTGGACCTTCAGCTTCCAGAAATCTCTGCAGTGTCCTGAGGATGGTAAACATGCTGTGGGATGGCTGGGCATCGAAAGGATCTGTCCCTCAGTAAAACTACCTTTGTATTGGCAAGGGCATTGGGATTACACAACACATCTTGGCTTCTTAATTGTGATTTTTCCAGCCTTCCTTCCCACCCACTGTGCCTGGGATTACACCTGTCTTAGTGTACATGTTCTACACTGCTGTGTTCCAGCTTGGATGCTCTCCCTTAAAAACAATTACTTCATGTGTTGGGTCTAGTTAACACTCCTTTGCAGTGCTCAAGCTCAATGACCCTGCAGACGCTGAGTGTTAGCAGTTGAGCTCTAGTTGCCATATGTAACTCTCATTACCTCAGTGTAGACAAGACCTGTTTACACCTTTAGAGCTTTAAAATCTTTGAAGCGAATCAGCTGCGGGAGGCTTGATAGCAATTTTTTTTTCCTTCCCAGTGATGCTGAGTACCAGTATGTGCCTATAACTTCACTGGAGCTATGGGAGATGGACACCTGTGGAAGCTCAGACAACTTTTTGCCCTCCTCTGCCCCACTGAAATCATCACTGCAAACACAGCCAGGTCTTTGTGGATTTTCTTCGTTTCAGATGCGAAGGTGACTGACCAGCTGTTGTTTGAGTACTGCAGAGACCTTTGGAGAACCATACGTGTTCAGCTGGGGATGAAGGGCTAAATTCAGACCACTTGTGCTCTTGGCATGCTACTCGCCCTCATCAGTGCTGTGTTTGCTTTAGAAGTCTGACTTAGCTGGCATGTCTCCGTTGTTGGCTAATGAGGATTAATTTTGATTCTCTTCAGGCTCCAGAGAAACAGATTGTGGAGGGGCTTTCATCACAGGGGGAATTAAGGAAGCTAGCAAAGTATCTTAACCCAAACCACACCACTGATGGCTTTCAGTCAGAAAGGAGGACAGATGAGATTAACCTCAAAACCCCTCTGCTTCCTTGTGGGGACTATAAAGCCCAGTGCCAAGTGAGAGAAGAATGCAGGAAAAGAATCATTTTAATGTGGATGTGTAAGAAACTGGACCACCAAGTCCATTCCACATTGGCCACTGAGCAGTCATCAGAGGGTGTTGACTTTTGACCACTACTGTTTTTGTTAACAAGGAAAATAAAACCATATGTTGCCTAAGTAGATGCACAAAACTTTTCTCCAAATCCCTACAGACAAACTGTCAGCAGCAAAAGTATTTACTTTGGTAATGCAGCTGGGCTTAATCCCAGCCCCATTGTGTTTGTGCATGCCTTTTCACCACTGAGCTCAATAACACGCTGCTTGTGAAGAGGGTGAATGAATGCATGCAGTATGATTTCTGTTATTAGGCCTATCGGTTACATCCCGAGACAAAAGGCTGGAATCAACAATGGTAGCACTACATAGGCACTGCTCATGCTTTGAGTTAGCCTAAGTGGAAATCTTAGTCATAAGTCACATCAACTAGCCATCAGTTTGAGGTAGGCCAGCAGGACTTGGCCCAGTGGTGCGGATCCTCAGCTGCCTTAAATCAGCATAAAGGCAGTGTAGTCCAAGGAGCCCCAGCTGAGGATTCTGGCGCCTACTGTCTATTTGTGAGCTTAGTGGTTGCTAAATACTTAATTTGCCGGGCTGCAAGCTGCTATGGCTGAGCAGCTGGGGGTAGCATAGCCTGGTGGGGTCCCCAGCTGGGACCTCTGCAGGTATAGACATCTTTTGGGATTGTGCCCAGAGTGACAGGACCACCACGTGCTGATCTTCCTCTCCTTCCAGCTTCCCTGGTATTCCCACGTTGAATAAGTTGGCTGGGACATTGCAGAGGTAGAGGGCAAGAGTGGCAGTTGGGTGGAAAGGTGTATGGATTGGGTGTGAATGCCAAGGAGATCTGTGATTCAGTGTATTTCTGAGAATGATTTGGTAATAGAGATGGCAGTGAGGAATGCGTTACAGATCTGACCTCAGGTCTGTGATGGGCTCTCCATGGAAGATGTGTCCAAAAATAGCTGCTTTCTGTGATTAAATTAATATGCAGGGAATATGTTGCGTGTGTTCCTGAAGTGATTTTTCTGTTATACGCATTAAAACAAGGCCATCACTGACTGTTTGAGGTCATCTATGGGTTGGGGGCTGGCTGATGTGGGTCTGCATGCAGTGCCCTGAAGTGATACCCGAACTAGACAAATGTGTCTCTGCATTGGCTTGGCATGATTCCCTCCCAGAGAAGAAATAACTATTCATTTCAGGCTTTGCTGGGACAAGAGGCTCCTTTCTATGATAACAAGCTCTCTTTCCTGGTTACAAGACCTATGTAACATGGGAGGAGAAATAAATGAGTGAGTTATAGAATCCTAGAAATATTGAATCCTGGCAGTTGTAAAAGACCACTAAGGTCATCTAGTCCAACTATCAATCCATCCCATCATGCACACTTAACCGTGTCCCTCAGTACCACATCTTCATGTTTCTTGAACACCTCCAGGGATGGTCATTCCACCACCTCCTTGGACAGCCTGTGCATATGCATTAATACTCTTTCTGGGAAGAAATTCCTCCTAATAAATATACAGTCTCATGTGGAAGGTGAGGAAAGATCTGGAAGAACTGGGATGAATGGAAGCTTTCTGTGCAACTTAGAGCTACACAGTTGTGATCTGTCTGTAATGTGTGGGAATGAGACAGGAATAGTCATAACACTTGGTACCTAATCTAGCTTGTTTGCATCTCTCCACGAGCCTTCATCAAGCTTCCAGCATAACTTATTCTCAAGCACAGAGTTCCTCTGGACATGGATTTTGACACAGGCATATCCAGAAAAGAAAGTCAAAGGCACTGTGCCCACTGCTGTCACTGCAGACATCTGTAAGTGAGGTCCATGCTTGGTGCTGACATTGCCTTCGTGGCAGTGTGTGCTGGACACAGCTTTCTGTAGTGCTGTAGGATGTGGAGGACCTGGAGGCAGTGTGCTGCCAGCATGTCCCAGTCCTCATTGTGCTCTGCTGGTGGTCCAACACCATTCTCACCCTATTGAAAAGTGACAGGACTGCTTTACAAAGCAGGAAAGCTGTGGCTGCTGCAATTCCAGTTTGGAAAGTGGAGAAATGCCACCTGTCCTCACTGTCATCAGAAGAGCTGAAATATTCCGATTAAAACCCAGAGTCCTTTTTAGCATGGCTGCAGCTGGAGCATGGAAGCAGCTCTGTGAAAAGCTGTTTCAGTGGCCTCTCTTTGTACTCCATAGAGATGAATTTCTATCAAAATGAGTTGTGCTGTGGGCCTAAGGAACCCCCAAAAAATGGTTCCTCAGTGCAAATTAACCCATTCCCAAACTCCGGAAATAAATCAGGAAAGGAGTTTTTGGCCCACGTTTCTCCTTGTGAAGTGAATATAAGGATTTTTTTTTTTCTGTCAAGTTAAAGACTTATAGAAAAATCAGATCAAGCTGCCTGGGGAGGTGGGAGAGTCACCAACCCTGGGGGTTTTCAGGAAAAGTGGAGATGTTGCATTAAATGACATGGTTCAGTGATACATTGGGGATGGGTCTGTGTTTGGGTTAAATGATCTTAGTGGTCTTTCCAACCTTAGTGATTTTATGATTCTGTGATCTTCCCAACTAAGTGAAGCACATGCTATCTATCCACTTGTCACACAGTGGCTGGCAGGTTTGTAAAGATGCAATTTTTTTTCTAATAATTTATGATTAACTTGAATGTATTCCTTATAGACCTATGGGATGTAAACCTTGTAGACTAGGGTACAAATAAGACCATGACAAGATGGGTTCTTTAAGATGTCTTTTGTAAAGGTGCAGAAAGGAAAACATACCTCCTTTGTCAGGAAGAATGATACCAGAAAAAAATTTAGAGATTGTTCCTAAACTGGAAAACATGGGACACTTATTTTACTGCTTTTTGATGCCATTTGGCTCACAAATGGGGAAGATATTTTGATATTTTTCCCTAAACAATTTTTTTCTTTTTCTTTTATAAATTTAAGCTGGAGTCTTGTTGCTCATGAATCTAAAGTTTTCATTCAAAATCTCTTATGGGGTGAGAGACAGGGAATTATTTGAAATAACTCTTCCTGTACAGAAACCCTGAAACTCTCAGCATTATCCTAGCATTGCTTCTTCCAAGCATCCCAGGGAAAGCCCTCTATTCAAGTTCTTCTTGGAGTGAAGTTGCTTTAAGGGATATGCACAATCCTTGGGGGCGTTCAAGGCCGAGTTCGATGGGGTTCTGGGCAGCCTGTTCTGGTGAGTGGCAACCAGCCCACGTCAGGGGGTTGGCACTGGATGGGCTTTAAGGTCCCTTCCAACCTAAGCCATACTGTGATTCCCAATGCTCTTGAGCCCCAGCCTTTTTCCTGCCAATTTGCTGTCCTGCTGCCATGCCAAAACACTTCCTTATGGGTCGTGCTGCACATGGGCTCCAACTAAGTTTAAAATTTCAATTATTTCAGATCCCTCACCTTGGCCCCAAGTGTTTGAGTCCTTCCCTGACCTGGTTCACAGACAGTTGCATTGGGCTGAAGGACAGGACATGCATGGCCCTCTGTAGCTGGCTTTGCCTCTGGAAAAACGTCACGTGGAAGATGCTCGCGAGAATTTTCTGGCTGGCACTATGTGTTATGGAAGCCATCACTGCACTGAGATCAGACCTTGCCTGAATAAAACCTCCTCTGCTGACCTCAGTGCCAATTGCTTCAAGTAATTAAGTCCCGAGCAGCACATTGTGGAGTAGGCCCTGTGCAGCATGCAGTATTGCTTGGTAAGGACACAAACACAGGTGCTCTCTGGGCAGTTGTGTATGAGCTAATGACATGTTAAAGATTTCCCATCTCTTGGTGCTCAGAACAGAAAAATGGGTTTGAACCACAGGATAATTATAAGTGAGTTAAAACGTTCCTGGGCTCAGTAAGCCAGCTAGGATGCTATTTAAAGGAATGTATCATTCTCTGCTTTGTCCTCTCGTCTGCACAGGGAGCTTTCATTAGAGCAGCTGGCAGAGAGAGGCACTGAGCCTTGGAGTGCTCGTGCAGCTTTTCACGGACATCTCAGCTTGAAAGAGCCTTTGACTGTGCATCTTGCAAAATGTTTTCTCTGAGATGTCAAAACATGCATCAGTCAAACCAAAGGAGTCTGGAAAGCATTAGGTGCATGTAGGCACTGCATTACCGATGTGGCTGGGGCTACTTGGGGGTTCACAGCAGGCACTTCCCGAAGATTTACAAAAGCCCTGCGGTCCTTGGGGGATTTCTGATGTCCTGGGTGGCTCTGCCATGATGGAGACAAACCTCAATCCCAGCAGGATTTGTCTGCGGGAGGGACAAAACTTCCAAAGCTGATGAGGTTTGAAAGCAAGCAAACAACTTTTGTTGTCCCATCTCTAAGAGAAGAGCACACTGTGCATTTTCTTCTCTTCCAGAATATGATGTGACACACAGAACCACCCAGCAGCAGAGGGGAGGCTGCACTTTGGGAATGTAGGCAGGAATGGAGGGTTGTGAGGCACAGCATGTGATTACAGCATCCTGTGGGGATCACCTGAGCTGGGTGCCTTGAGAGGTGATGCAGCTTCTAAGACCCCACGTGGTCCCACAATGTGTGGTCTGTGACTCAGGGACAAGCATGCCTTATAGTGTCTGGCACATGAAGCTTAGAAGCAGATCGTGGAACTATAGAATTCTTAAGGTTGGAAAAGACCACTAAGACCATACAGTCCAACCATCAACCCATCCCTACCATGCCCACTGACCTATGTCTCTCAGTGCTACATCTCCAGGGTTTTTGAACATCTTCAGGGATGGTGACTCCACCACCTCCCTGGGCAGCCTGTGCCAATGTATCACCACTCTTCCTGAGAGGAAATTTTTCCTAATATCCAACCTGAACCTCTCCTGGTGCATCTTAAGACCGTTCTCTCTCATTCTATTGCTGTTACCTGTGAGAAGAGGCTGACTTCCACATCGCTACAGCCTCGTTTCAAGGAGCTGCAGGGAGCTATGAGGTCTCCCCTGAGTCTCCTCTTCTCCAGAGTAAACAATCCCAGTTCCCTCAGCCACTTCTCATAAGTCTTCCAGATGAACCATTTTGCAGCTTTGCAAGCATACAAGGCACTGCCTTGATTAGTAGGAGATATTTCTGTGTCCCACTCTTCACTTCCAGAGCCTGAAGGCTGTTGGAGGGGGCTTAGGAACATGCAGCATCTCAGTTTTCCAAAGTGAAAGACAGCAAGCACAACACAAAGATGGACACAGAGGAAAGCTGGCTTCAGCTAAACTCCTGCACGTATTTCAGCAATCTGCTGAGAGCTGCTTGAAAACCATTTACTTTCAGGAGCACGGTTAGTGGGCATGGTGTATATGGGTTGATAGTTGGACTAGATAATCTTAATGGTCTTTTCCAACCTTAATGATTCTGTTATTCTATGATTCTATGTTTCTGTAGTCTGAAAACATGTGAGTGTGGCCTCAGGCATGGCCAGAGGGTGTCCTTCAGAGCACATGGGATCAGAGCTCAGGGCTGAGCTCGCTGCTCTGCTGGAGCCCTCTGAAAGGTGCCAGGCTGGCGGCTCGGCAGTGCCAGCTGTGTCCCCGGGTGCCCATGAGCAGGTTCCTCTCAAGCCGCTCGCTGCTGGAATGCAGGCATAGCGTTTCCATGAGTAAGCCTCACTTGCAAGGCTGCATGTTTGCAGGATGAGGCCATGGAGGGAATTAGCAAGCTGCCAGCCTTTTGCGGGGCTGGCGAGGTGCACGCGGTGTGGAGCTGGGCAAATTCACGCTTGAGAGCTTTTAATTTCATGCTTCCCGAGCAAGGACTTTTCTCTGTAAAAGCCACTTTATTATTATTATTATTTTTTTAAATATAATATAGTATTTATTTAAAAACTAGAAAAGTAAAGTAGGGATGGAAGAAAGCTGGGGCAGTTCTGCGGCGTTTTTCTGTTTTGCACTTCCGGTGTGCACAATGCAGTTCTGTCCTGTGCACCTGAGACACGTCGCTAATAACCCAAAACTGCAAACACAGTGCTAAAATCACACTGAGGCTGAGCAATGCCCCTTCCCAGCACAGAAGGTAGCAGATGAAGTGCAGGCTCAGTGCACCCATGGGGCAGGTCCCCATTCACCCTTGTGAGCATTGCGGCACCATTGTCCTCCCACGAGGACTAATTAGCCTTGGATTTTGGATACTGCTGTGAAGTGGCTGGATCTGAGGTCACCCCTGGGATCTGTGCACCGTGCTCCACATTCTCCTAGCAAGGAATGGAAGACTGCAGGGAATGTAGCAAAATTGCTGGGCTTGCTTCATGTAAACGTGAAAATCATAGAATCATAGAATGGCTTGGTTTGGAAGGAACATTAAAGCCCATCCAGTTCCAACTCCCTGCCAAGAGCTGATCGTCCCTTAGTAGATCAGGCTGCCCGGGGCCCCATCCAACCTGGCTTTGAACATCTCAGTTTTCCTTTTCTCTAACTCACTCCTTGCTCTACAGTCCTAAACACCATCTTGGATCTGCTAATCAGTTGTTACCTGTTTTCTAGCCCTTTAAACCTTTTCTCCCATCCAACAGATAGCTATGGAAAACTTAAGGTTCATGGCCACAATCCCCTCATGGGTGTGAGTGCAGTCCAAGTAAATAAATCCTGAGTGCAAGCATTCACACATGAAGAACTTCACACTCAGAAACATGACCACACTAAATTGCTGCCAGAGCTTTAAAGGCAGCTTTTGAAAATATTGGCCCCACATCTTGTAATTCTGAAGCAAATAGTTTGATTCATTAGGGAAATGTCAGCTCATTGCACCTAGGGCTGCATCCTAGGGATGCAGGGATGGAGACAGCTCTCTGCTTGTACATAAATGCAGACTGGGCTTATTAGCTACCAGAGGAAATGGAAACCTTTATGATTTCAACCTTATTTTCCATGTCTGTGCAATTACAAAGACTTGATGTAGAAGAGTTTCTTGCAAGTATATCAAGCATATGCTCCACAGAAACACTCAGAACAATGTTTTTGGCTCCTATATCTAATTCTAGCAGAAGGATCATTTTCCTGACAGTCAACATCAGTTTTTATTAGCCATGAGCATTTTCCTTGCCTTTCCTTTGCCTCCCCTTCCCCTTCTGCTTTCCCCCTCACTTTTCCCTTTCCCCTTCCCTTTTCCTTTCCCTTTCCTTTTTGTTTTCCAATTCCCGCAGTGCTATTGATAGTTAATCATTACCATTTCATGTGAGATTCCTGGCAATCAGTTTGAATTGTACATATGTAAAAGTGCAGTCTGTAAATCTCAGATCAGTGCTGGAACACGTAGGTGGTGTATTTATATAAACCACTTTGAGACTGCAAACTTC